TTGTAGGATTTACTTGATTAAATCGTATTTGTACTCACATTTTTAAAGTATATTTTACTGCTGTAATATCAAGTAGAACTTACTTTCAGTATCAAGTCAAATGTAATTACCACCATCATGTTTTTTCTGTTTAAAATGTTGAATTACTCGTTTGTTTGAAGTTATATTACTCACTTTAATTATGTAATTGTTACTCATTTACTTTTGAAAAATGTTACTAATAAATAATAATAATAATAATAATCTATGCATTTAATATACATTGAGCACAAATCACACAACTAAAATACAATACAATTAAACTTTATTTTGTCAACATTAAATATAATTTTTGCTAAAAGATAACATACCCCAAAACCCCAAATACTACACACTGAACCTTTAAGTCTGGATACTCAATAAGCACAATGTCAGCAGTCATAATAAAAAATAAAATCTCATCAGTCATAATAAAAAATGTAACAGTGGCATGACTGGAATGGTAATTGTTGCTCTATTGAAACAAGTATTAAAGTATGAGTGAATATTAACCCATGGGTCTGCTGTAAAACAATTCAATCACTATGAACCAACATTAACTTAACACAAATATAAAATTAAAATATCACGGCCACAAGACAAATCTACTCCATCAACATAGATTTGGAGTGGTGCTTTTAAAACATTCAATAAAAACATACAGCTCCCTGAAATTGAGCAATTGCAACATTTAAACATAGAATTATAAAGGAATTAATGAGCAGGAACAAATACAGAATAACATACAAACTTAGTATACATAGACTTATCCTGCAAAGAAAACTGTTGATACATAGAAGCCGTAACAGTTTAGGTAACTTTAGTGCATGTGCTTTGAACATCTGAACATGTTGAACATCTATCCACACTAAATATATTCAACATGGGTTCAGCCAGCGATCAGGAAAGAATTCCTGCTGCTTTGAGCAGGCAGAAGGCAGGCACGCTGTGGTGCGAAGAGACATGCTGGAAACGGGCTTTATCAAATAAAGTAAAATAAACAGAGGGAGCCGTTGCGACACATTTAGCAAAAGCTACAAGCCACAGGAATCCTGCAGGAAAAGTGTGATGCTTTTTTAATCCAACCCCAAACCAATTCTAGGGATGTAGACTAAACAAAGAACCACTAAGTATACCACTATATTCACATCAGTGCATCACATTGCATATCATGACAAATCACTCTTACAGCTCAATTGAAGACTAGAGGCAATTTTGATCTGCATCAAAACATACTAGTTATCATGAATACAACTTGAGGCCAAACATATAGAAATAATAAATATTGAAGGAAAATAGAGTTATGAAACAAAAATATTTATTATGAGATACAGTAGCCTACAGGGCAGAAGCCTATTCATCCTAACACACAAGAGGAGTTTTAAGAAAAAAGGTTAGTATTAGTGTGCTGTACACATCTCAGGAGCAGTCAGGGTTACAATGCACACTTTATCAACTATTTAAATCAAATGTATGAGGCATGTGTATGACTTTTTCATGTAATGACAAGTACTGACAATACTTAATAGAAACAACCATAATTAATGTAAAGAGGCGTAGTCTTCATACTAATGAGTTAGACTCTATCGAGGTATACTTCCACAAGGATTTTGGCCCCTTTCATCAGAGTAGTAAGTCGCTATTCACATCTGTGAGACAGATGAACATAACATAAGACAGCACACAATGGATGATATGGGCAGACACATGTTTGATCGAGAAGGTTGAAAAGAACCCACAAAACCCACCAAACTGTAGTGTTTTCATGTTCAGAGTTGGCATTTTGTCAAAGAAAGCACTCAGTGATCACAGCACAGATCTCAGTGCAGGAGTACTTCAAAACTGTTTCCATCTCTAATGACTCTACATTCAAACTTCTTAAGAAGTATTTTTACAAATGAATGTGAAAAATCGTGCTCAGTTTAAAATGTTTCAGTATGCAATGTGGTTGAGAAATATTTTTCTCTCCCAGAAATCCGCATTACAGACCTGCTACAGTCAAACCTGATCTGAAGCTTTCATTTATAGAACTCCTATTGTCATTGGCAAGATATGAAAAACAGTAACACGTATAAGTCCTCCATTGAACGCCTCAAGAGTGAGGATAAATACCTTAAGCCTAGTTATTCATTAGAAGTATTTAGTCTACATCATCACAGGCTTGAGCTATGACTCTAAATCCACCATTTACTATGCCAAACAAATCATGTGTTTTATTATTAAGCAACAACTGAGAACAGACATGATGGTAATCCCTTTAGACACTTACCAAACCAAATCGTCACTAAAAAGCCATCAAAGGATTTACTGATATTGACATAAGAACACATATAAACAACAATTGCTATAATTATGATTCCCTTAGCCTCTGGGCTCACTTTTAGTTACGGGTCATTTTGTACATTTCTCTGTAGATAATTGTGTTGCCTGCTGTAATTATGTTGCTATGATTCTCAGTGGGATATGAAAAACATACGTATCAAGCCAACAAGAGATTAGGCGATGCAGTGTTCTTGCTAGTCACTTGTAGGTGCAGCCTAATCTCCTTGTGCTGTAACCATGACAATAACAATCGCCTACGCACTCTTACACAAATAGATCCTTGAATCTTTGGAGTGTACAGATTCTGCCCTGAACAATCAGCCAGTCACTGTGAACAGCCCGCTTAGTTTTATATGATTTCTCCTCATAAGACAGCATGTTGTCTGCATTACACCTGTTGAACAATGACTGAACAACCATTATCAAATACTTACACGCAGTATCTAGAACAAACTAAATACAATGTATGTCATTATTTAAATCACAGAGTTAAATAAACAAAAAGCCTGTAAAGGCCACTGTAACACTTTAGTTATTTGTAACAAAAAGCCCATTTCTCATGACACTCTCACAGGTGTTTTCAATTACTGGATGATTAGACATCTAGTCAGGGGAGAGCTTGAAATAATATTATATCACAAAACTCTGTGGATCAATAAGATTGATAACATTGTAATAGGTGCAAGAATATAAACAGGTGAGATGAGTTCTAATGGTTCTAATCCGGCAACATAAGTGAAAACACCTGTGAGTGAGTAAATGTAGGGTCTATAATCTTATAACAAGTTGATTGCGAAAAAAGAATGCTTGACTTTTTAAGTCTGCTCAAGCCAAATATAAATATATCATGCCTTACTTGAAAGGTCAAAACAAAAAGGTCAGAGGTCAGGGCTTCACAATGTTTACATGTTCTATAAAGACACTTAACCAAGGGGGAGGCTTGCTGAAAGAAGCAGCCTCAACGTGAATCCTGTGGTCTCCTTTTTAATTTGCCCCCCATTTTTAGATATAAAGATCTGAGAGAGCGTGATATTATCTATAGCAAGTTTGTCTAAAAGCAGCAAACCCTACATGCCTCAATGAAACATCTAAACTAACTTTATTGGCTAAGTTTAGTTTAGAAATCCCAAGCCTCTTTCAGAGTATTTAATGGCAACTCTGACCATTACTCATGGCTTTCTTCAACATAATTACTTTGAGTTCTGCAGTTAATAATGTTACAAGATCCCCATCTAGTGGTTTAAGGTGAATGTTACAGATGTAAGACTGCAATAGCTACTTCATTCAAATCTAATCTTTGTTTGAATATAGGATAAATAAATATACTTGTATTTACTATTTCCAGGGCTCTTGCTTAAACAATTCTGCAGCTGCCTCATTGTGGTTTTAATTAGAACCGAAATTGTATAATATGCTAATATTTTGAAAATCCATAATAGATAGTGGAAACTAATTAATATATTACAAGGACAAATGAGATATATCTGTGCCAGATGTGAGAGCTAATTAATTTGTCTTCATATCCCAAAAAGGGAAGCAGCTCAAGGAGATAAATATCTTTAATTTGACTGTAATATGAAACATCAACACTGTAAGACAATTTTACAACCCTGGTCCTGGGAAACACAAGTCACTTTCATTGGTTACTTGAGTTTTATATATGATAAATGGAGAAGGAACGTAGCTTCCAACTATACTGTCCTTTTGCTATAAGTGTTATAATTGTGTTTAAGAAAAGCCTTTTCACCCAGCTATACTGTTGACATTAAATCTGGATATATTTCAGTAAAATAACCTTACATTTGACAAAATCTGGATCAGAGTACAGCTCGGATGAAAGACATTTTCCACTGTCAGATAATGTCAGCGGGCTCAGCAGCAGATGGGTCTGGACCAGAGCAGAGCTACCACAACACATGACAGACGGTGGTCTCTGGAACCAGCCTCTATGACAGCCTGGACTTACTGGTCCTATCTTGTCTTTCCTGCGAGAATCTGTCCTCTGCCACAAACAAGGGGCTAGGTTACCATGCATCTATGTCCTTTAGTGTTTTTGGTCACGATTATTAAAATGTCATAATAATAGATCATTCAGATACTAATTGTCAAAATGATTCTCAAAACTGTGCCTGTGTTGCCAAAATGCAAAGTATTTCACCATCATTCAAATCTGGACATATCATGCAACTAAACCTACTTTAGCATTACAGTTTAATATAACACAAGGATTAACCAAAGGAATAGATCGATATAAGAGATTATAGTATGTTATTATAATATCACTCAATGAACTTGCCTCCTACACTATTCTCTGCAATGTGACCACATTTTTACTCAAAATACTGCTAAAAAAACAGTTTTATAGCCTACAAAACAAACCTAATATAAAGAAAATATATTTGTATTTATTTACAGGACTGTTTACTTGCAGTGACTCAAAGCAGACTGAACTCTGTGCAGTTTACATCCGAGTGGCCCGGCGTTACTAGCCAAACACCTCACACGCCAGAAGGATGCACCGCCGGAAACAACCTACCCTGCCTCCCCTGCGCGCGGACCTTATATGATTGACTCATTGGCCAGACCAATCGCGTGCCCACTTCCCCGTTTTCCACATCCAATCATAAAGCCGGAATTCGTACACATAATTTACGGCGCACTCACGGTAGGTTGAACCGGCTGAGGTCCATAGAAATTTGACAGCTTCACAGGTGAGACAACCGTCCAGAGGCTGTTGCAGTTTACATTCCAGTTTTTCCCCTGAGCACTGTTCACTGTTAGCCTGGGGTTGTCACTCTCAAAAAACAACCATTCGAAGTCAAACCATTCCGGCAGCATGAGCAAAAAGAAAAAGGACTGGAAGACTGAAAAAGGTAAGGCATGTTTTGGGGAGAATGGGGCTATCATCATCTCTATGGCAGACAGCATGAATTCAACCATGCCATTAAATGGACAGCCACTCTTTCTGTCTTCTCCGTGTTGCCGTGACACTACTTTACTATCTAGACTATCCGGTTGACAAAACACGGTCACTGTACAGATGTTATAATGATGTGCGCCTCTGTTTAGCTGCCGTAATGCATGTTTGACATTCGCAGCAACAGTGTTCACAGTGCTTCTTGCCTGATTATTAGCTTAAACGTAAGGCTCCCGCATATTTTTGCCCCTTAGACTACTCATAACTAACATATCCTGCCTTCCACCTGTGTGATACACCAACAGTAGCTCCCTCTACTTCTCTGCTACATCATATTCCTGTAGCAGCAGACACGCCGTAGCAAAACAAAGAAACATAACGTATACAGGTTTAAGACGTGCTTAATAATTTCTTTCGAAATGAAAGTGAAAGTTGCCCATGACACATAACACTGAGACTCGCTTCTTTGACTCCAAATTATTTCAGTTTTAGAAATATGAACAGGATATACCTGTTGTTCTCAAGTAATTTATGCTAACTGAACTCTATCTATATTTATAAGATATTTTATTCTTGACACAGTGGAGCTTTTCTCATTGTAGACGTGTTCACTTGTCCCAGTAGGTTCAGCACAGGTGTTATCAGACTAATTAGGGAGAGCTCCATTTAATTTATGCCACCTTGTACACATGTTTCACTGAGCATGCATAACACAAGGGCCTTTCTACTAGCAGCCATCATTAAGATTATTCATTCCACCTGTGGTCCTACAGTACATGACAATGTATTTCAACTTTATCAAACTGTATTCCATAATATTACTCTTGCTGAAGTGAACTACTGATTCAGACAATATCCAGCCCTGGCTTCTGTTCAGAATTGTTGTAGCCTCAATTATGAACTTCAATTGTTTCTAATTATTGCTGATATTTTTGAGAAGTTAGTGATTCAAATAGTTTTGATGCCGGCTAGTTTTTCATGTGAAATACTGCAGCAGTTGAGTCGTCTCACTTTCAAACCTGTTCACTCACAAGCTTTTTTAAAATTTAATTTTTTATAAATGTATGGGAACATTTTTATCATGGTCATTTAAATTCTCTGAGCAAAGGTAATAATTAATCTTAGCTAACCATTTCCAGTTTGAGCAGGTAGCAGCATGGAATGAACATCAAAGTAAGTCAGATTTCATATTCTGAGCATACACCCCTCTAGCTCAAATTGCATTAAGAGGAGATCAAGGCTAGTCAAAATGTGAATAGGAGAAACTCTGAAATGTAAGGAATTTAATATTATTATTTTTTAACTAGTTTGTTGAGTTTGTCTGTTGGTGTGAGAAGTACTACTAAAAATGTTACATGATTGTAAATCGGGTTGGTAAAATGAACATCATTTAAAAATTGACTAAAACATACAAGGTTGCAGGATGCTGTCTATTCTGAATTTGGATAACTTTTTTAAACAAACCAAACTAAATAAGATAACATTGGATATAAATAGTAAAAAGCTTCATTAAGTGAGATGGAATTAGACACATCTAATTGTATTTGTTATCGCTATTATTTTGTGGTGGTGATGAGTGAAGGGCCATTCCATCCAGTACTCACCAAGTACAGAAAAAAAAAATATGGCACTTAGCAGTTATTCTCTGAGAAAACAATTGTGTTACTCATATTTAATAAAGCACATTTTGGGCCCAGACTGTTCTCATGGCATCCTATCCAAGCTTTGGGCTTTCTTCAACAGCTATTTGTTCAGCAGAGTGACAAAGCGCTTAACTCCAGAGAGCTTTGCTGTGTTCAACCTCAGAAGAACTGCCTCTTTATTCATCCATGTAGAATAAAAGCAACCTTGGGAATGGCAGGAGTGGGCAAGAGGGAGATAAAATACATTAGAGATAGAATGGATATCCCTAAATGCGGGAATACCTTTTAATTATAGCGTGATATACTGCAGGATGTTGCCATAAGATCCACTTAGGATCCTTATATTTTTCTTCATAACTTGGTCCGCATCGACTGCCTTAATATTTAGAGGAAGATTATAAGTCTCTGTTATTATATATGCAAATATATTAGGATTTTTCATAGAGGGGAGGGTTTAGGAGGCATGAACTAAGGATGATACTTTTTTTTTCAGAACAGGCCATTGTTGTTCTGAGAAACATTAGGAAGCTGCTACTTATGTTGGAATTTATTTCAAATCAAAACGGGATAACAAGAATGACTCAAACTTGTTACACAGCAGCTGAGCTAACTAGAGATGGCTTAAAAGTTAGAATTGAGAACATATTTCTTTATATCGAGTTAATTTTTTCAAAACTGTTCCGCTCAGCAGTAGTTCATCTTAAAACCAAACAAACTCATGCAACCACAACACTTAATGACTTAATATTGTAAAAACAGTTAGCATCTCAATATGTATCACTATTGTATTTTGAAATATATTTTATTCCTGTTTAACATAAACAAATATACTAGCATGAATGTAGGTTATTCCAGTAATCCAATATAAAACTAAACTATACAGTATATTCACTAAACATACTTCCATATAGAAACCTAGCAGTGCAAGCTAACCATGTTATCTGCATTTGGCATTTTTCATTTTCTGTCTTTACACCTGGGAAATATAATGTCTTTATGTCTGATCCATCCCTTGTTATATATATATACTTGTGCAGATATGGCCAAACATCCAGCATTCATTGGGAGGAAGATATGATCATGTTCATGTGGTAGTTGTAACTGTTATACCCCCAAGAACAAAAACAATTGTCATGTTGATGTAAAAGAGACACTATTCTGGTTTGGGCTGTAAACGACTCCTGAGTAGAAGAGAAATATGTCTGGATTCTACTTCACCTGAAGCATTTCATAAGGGTCATTCATGAATGAACATACAGTGGGGCAAAAAAGTATTTAGTCAGCCACCAATTGTGCAAGTTCTCCCACTTAAAAAGATGAGAGGCCTGTAATTTTCATCCTAGGTATACCTCAACTATGAGAGACAAGATGAGAAAAAAAAATCCAGAAAATGACTGTCTGATTTTTAAAGACTTTATTTGCAAATTATGGTGGAAAATAAGTATTTGGTCAATAACAAAAGTTCATCTCAATACTTTGTTATATACCCTTTGTTGGCAATGACAGAGGTCAAACGTTTTCTGTAAGTCTTCACAAGGTTTTCACACACTGTTGCTGGTATTTTGGCCCATTCCTCCATGCAGATCTCCTCTAGAGCAGTGATGTTTTGGGGCTGTCGCTGGGCAACACGGACTTTCAACTCCCTCCAAAGATTTTCTATGGGATTGAGATCTGGAGACTGGCTAGGCCACTCCAGGACCTTGAAATGCTTCTTACGAAGCCACTCCTTCGTTGCCCGGGCGGTGTGTTTGGGATCATTGTCATGCTGAAAGACCCAGCCACGTTTCATCTTCAATGCCCTTGCTGATGGAAGGAGGTTGTCACTCAAAATCTCACGATACATGGCCCCATTCATTCTTTCCTTTACACGGATCAGTCGTCCTGGTCCCTTTGCAGAAAAACAGCCCCAAAGCATGATGTTTCCCCCCCCATGTTTCACAGTAGGTATGGTGTTCTTTGGATGCAACTCAGCATTCTTTCTCCTCCAAACACGTCTAGTTGAGTTTTTACCAAAAAGTTCTATTTTGGTTTCATCTGACCATATGACATTCTCCCAATCCTCTTCTGGATCATCTAAATGCTCTCTAGCAAACTTCAGACGGGCCTGGACATGTACTGGCTTAAGCAGGGGGACACGTCTGGCACAGCAGGATTTGAGTCCCTGGCGGCGTAGTGTGTTACTGATGGTAGCCTTTGTTACTTTGGTCCCAGCTCTCTGCAGGTCACTGACTAGGTCCCCCCGTGTGGTTCTGGGACTTTTGCTAACCGTTCTTGTGATCATGTTGACCCCACGGGGTGAGATCTTGCGTGGAGCCCCAGATCGAGGGAGATTATCAGTGGTCTTGTATGTCTTCCATTTTCTAATAATTGCTCCCACAGTTGATTTCTTCACACCAAGCTGCTTACCTATTGCAGATTCAGTCTTCCCAGCCTGGTGCAGGTCTACAATTTTGTTTCTGGTGTCCTTTGACAGCTCTTTGGTCTTGGCCATAGTGGAGTTTGGAGTGTGACTGTTTGAGGTTGTGGACAGGTGTCTTTTATACTGATAACGAGTTCAACCAGGTGCCATTAATACAGTTAACAAGTGGAGGACAGAGGAGGCTCTTAAAGAAGAAGTTACAGGTCTGTGAGAGCCAGAAATCTTGTTTGTTTGTAGGTGACCAAATACTTATTTTCAAATAAATTCTTTAAAAATCAGACAATGCGATTTTCTGGATTTTGTCTCTCATAGTTGAGGTATACCTAGGATGAAAATTACAGGCCTCTCTCATCTTTTTAAGTGGGAGAACTTGCACAATTGGTGGCTGACTAAATACTTTTTTGCCCCACTGTAGATGGTTAGAGTTGTGTGTCACAATTAGGAGTTTTGGTGGTGGTTGACAGTTCTATTAAAATGTTTGAATTGTTGGTAGTTCTGACAAAGTCAATGTATCAATATACTGTAGATCCATCCGTTATGGACAAAGTTTGAAAGTCTCACTCTTAGGTTTGTTAGCGAACGATAGTTTATTATCTAAGTCACATACAACTTAATGCAGGTGCAGAGCAGTACAATTTTCACACAGTTTAGAATTGGAACAAGCTTAGTAACAGGGTTACATAGTGCAGTGGTTCTCATATGAGGTTACCCTTGAGATGCAAGGGTACTGTATGCACAGTTTTACTATAACAAACACGCTGTTTCAATATTTAACACAACCACATCCAAAAAAGAATTAGAACTAATGAGTTGAATCAACAGGTGGCGCTGATTTGAACGAGAGCATGCATTGTTTGGGTCTCCATGGCTGAGAACCACTGATGTAGTAAGTTAGCTAGACTGTCATCAAACCAGAATATTTGTTTTCAGAACTCTCCGACGGCAAGCAGCAACACTACTGAAGTGCGTTTGAGCCACACTCAAATGACTAACTATCTCCAGGGGTCCTCTTCCATTGCTCATTGTGAACTTGGACTAAGAGAGTTGAAAGGGAATGGTATGAATGGGATCACATTATTAGATATCACTTCATTAGAGGTCACATTTTTCATTGAGGCATTTCAGAGAGCCAGGAAGGTGTGGAGCTGGAGCAGTGAGACTCAATCGGTGCAGGAGCAGAAACTGTCCTGTTGGTGGTGGTCAGTTAAAGTCAAGGACTAATGCTGGAAAACTTTGGTAGGACATAAAAAGACACAGAAGCTTGCAGTTAATTTGTTACCGTTTCTGAAAATACATTTCATTTGTTAATAGCTGTCGGTGCAAGTACCAAGTCTATTTCCCTCCATCTCTTTAATTCTTCATTTGGTCCAGCTTTTTTCTCTCTTGAATATATTGTTTCTTTCATCCACAGAGAGACTGCTCCGTCTAGATCGAGAGGAGAGACGCAAGGAGTATCGTCGTCAAGATTTTATATCTTTGGACAAGATCCCAGCCTGGAGGGAGGAAACTAGACGTAAGAAGGACTGCTTGTTGTTGCTGAGCTGGGTGTTGCTGATAAAACGCATTATGGCTCTGTTGACACAGCCAAGCAGAAACCAATGAGTATTCAATCATTCTGGTGGCTGGGTTCGCTGTTTAAATAAAAAAGTATTTTGCCCATTATTGCGCATTTATCCATACTTGTATTGTGTATATTATATTATATATATATATATACTTATATTTATATAGAAAGCACAACAATACATTTTTCCCCTATATGCAAATGTTGGTAATGTCTTCCTAACATTTGAATTAGGCTATAGTCTATTTGATCAGACATTCAGTATAAACAATCAAATTATCATTTTCTTACCTTTTATGAACGTTAACTTTGCTTGACAGACAAAATGAACTACACTAAGCAGTGCACCATTTTACACATGATTTCTCAGTAAGTAAAGCCATCTCAAAAAGAAAAAGACCTAGATGCCACCAAGATTTATGTATTGGAACAAAAGGTTTCACATCAATGTAAACCCTTTGGATAAAATGTGGATGCTGGGGGAAATTTGATTTGTAAATGTGTGATAAACTATGCAAAAACCACAGAGAATCGATAAATAAAACCGAGAGAAACACTCTTCTTAATTAAAGATCTGGCAATGTTAGTTGTCAACCAACAATAACAGAGCTTAAGAACATCCACAAACCAATAAATGCTCAAGTTGTTGTTCCAGTGTGTAGAGAAAAGTAAGTTTCATAGGATTTACAGAATGTTCTTGAATACTCGTTCTAAAAAATAGCTAGAGATGCTACAAAGTTACTTTAGTAGTAGCTACTGTAACTCAATAACAGCCATTAGCATTATGGCTTGTTCTATAACTGTTTTACAGGTTTAATCTTGAAAACAACAAGCACACCTGATTCTGAAGTTTCAGAAAACAGGGTTCCTGTTTTTTTGTTTAAGTAGCAGCATGCTTTGATATTCAGCAGCAATATATATTTTTAAATCATATCTGCCTTTTTTAAATAACATGTTTCAATTTAGACATAGTCATCAGTTGATGTGCAGTGAAGTTGATGCTACTTTGTTTAGGAGTACTTGGTGATATTCACACAACTGCTGTGGTGTGTTTTCTAAATGAAACCAGGTATAATAATGTTTGATGGCAGTCTGGGAGGATCTTAGCTGATTTATTTTCCCTGAGAAGCAGTATGAAACAGAATTGCTGATTCACAGCTCCTTGGTTATTAACATTTCTTGGCTCGACTCTGAAAGGAGGTTACTCTACAACATAGTCCTGTCCAAACTTTCCAGGCTTTTAATCCTTATCGTTGACTATTTCATATAAATGATCAAACACTGCATCACATCATTAAAAAGTGTACTATATGAAATAAGGAATAGGACAAAGGTGACTACAAATATTCATGTTTTGATTGAAAATCCATGGTGCTCCAATGATATTACAGTACGTACATTAATGTCCGCTCTTATTGTATTTAAATGAATTTATTTTATAAATGAAATGGGAATAATGGATGCATTGTGTCTTTTATGTCTTCATCAACACCTGCCTGTTTAACTTATGATTTTGTCTTTTTTAAAAGCCATTAATGAAACTACTCCCTATTACTTTACTAGGAAGAAATCATGTTAATGTGCTTACATTAATGCAATAAGTTAAAGTTATCTTTTTTTTTATTTTAGCCAATGACAAAGAGGAGGTGAAGGAGCTGACAGATGGAGGAGGCCCAATAAATAAAGTATCTCTCTACAAAGGAGATATTACCGTCTTGGAGGTGGATGCCATAGTCAATGCTGGTAAGGATCTGCCCTTTGACCTTTGGGAGCTGCTGGATGGTGTTTGCTGCTTGAAGGCAGCTCTGCTTTTAAATTGTCCTTGGCTGCCCTCTACTGTTGAGTCTCACAAAGTGATTTTCCTGAGGCAATGCACAAGTGATGAGTGTTATTGAGGCAAATGTTAAACCGGACATCTACTCCTGATGATTTGACTTCCTTTTGGTTGAAATCAAGTGACTAACATTTTCTTAGTCAACATTATTTTTTCAGCTCTTTCCTATACCCTGTCCCAGTGAGACACAAGGTTAATGTCTCAATTGATGTTGGTTTAGTAGTTATACTCATGACATTTGTCATGAGTATGTCATGTGTGTGCTGTAATGATTAGAGGTCACATATCCAATGCTGCTGTTATAGAATCATTGGGGTGAGAAGGAAAGCCTTTGATTTGTGCTGCTGTTATGTAATTTTCTGCAGTCTGCTCACAACCTACACACAGTCGGAGGAGGACAGGTGCTAAAAGATTACTTTACCTGTTGCTACTGCAGCTGATGCTGAGGGGCCATTTTTCAGCTATAGACTTAATAGCCCCACATCAAAGCTGTATAGAAGCAGTATATGAAACATGGTCCTCTTTGGCATTCTGCAGTCCTAAATCAAAGCTTTTCCTTCCTCATGCAGTATTTGTAAACACTCACATAAACCCTTTACAGTGACAGTCTACTAAGCAGGGTGCATCTCGGGTGAAATTAATACACTGTAATTTATGCAAGATTAATAGCTGTGAAAAACAGACTGCTCTGTTGGATAAAGCTAATGAATTTAATACATTATGTAAATCCCCATTCTAATGAGATAAGGTGACATGACATTCTGAATAGTTGTCAGCATCATGTAACAGACAACTAATCTGTTTAGTGCACAGACACCTGACATACCTAAAATGTCATGGCAATTGTTTAACATCTTGACCTATGCAAATGCAGCATTCTGAGCTTATATTATATATTCACAAAGTTTGTATTTTGTTGACTTTTATGATAACAGCTACTTGTGTGAATTGCCATTGTTCGCAAAGTGATGCTCTCAATGTACTTTCATGTGAATTAGGTGCCAGAGTGCAGGCTTGTGCCTTCTCTAAAGCCTGGATTGATATGTTACTCATGCTAAGAGTCACTGAGACCAGAACATTGTGTTACTGGTATTACTGTTTATTCTTAACTAATCAAGGTTAGGGCAGTGGATATGGTGAACAGTGTTAGTGAAAATGGTAAAATAGCGCATATTGGAATGGAAATGAGGTTTCAGAGAGTGCATTGTTGTTTTAAGTTTCAAAGCGTTGAATACTATTGTAGCAAAGTCAGGCAGATTTCTTCAGCAGTTAATGCTGCCAGGCGTCCAGGCTCTGATTGAGCTTCATTTGGCCAGGGGGTAATACATTCTGTTAGCAGGCTGTCAGAGGGCCTGAAAGGTTCAAGGAATTGCTGAAGCCTTTTATCATTTCCAGAAGGTCTCAGCCGTCGGCCCCTGTTTCTCTTTCTGAACTGCCGGACCAGTTGTCTTTGTACAGGTGGTTGGACAGATAAGAACATAGTGGTAGGCTTTGCTGCCCAGTTTTGTTCACCATCTATAACCGCTCTGCTCAGCAACAGTAGTATGTTGTGAATATAAATAGATTGTTCCAGACCATGTTGTTTTGTCATTGTAACAATAGACAATGATTTTACAGTGTGGCATTAAAATACAAACTCTTAGTTGAATAGGTTGGACAAGCTCTGGCAATAGTGGCTCTTGTCCAAATGTTTGTGACTAACACAGTTCTGAGCTGCATGCGAGCAAACATTGCGGATGCTGGGCCACAGAGTTTGATAAGATCTTTGGATGGTTTGTTCAACTTCTTGCCTTTCATCTATTCATGCCCTTCCAATCTCTAGCCTGCAGTACTTCCATTTACCCATGCTGCTTTTCCATTTAGGGTTGGCAGGAGGACCGCTTTCAATCCAGTGTGGGACTTTCTAAGCAATGAGAAAGTATTAACCTAAAAGTAAATTAGCTCTCAGAGAATCTTTTTCTCACATTTTTAAATACTGGATACTATTATGCAAATAGTTGAATGTCAAAGTTGCTGTCTGAGAAGGAATAAATACATCTTATCTAATTACAACTTATTAAGGCTACTTATTTGTCCCTTCTGTGATTCTATTGAATCAGTGGACATGTATTTAGGTACAGGAGCAGGATGTCCATATAATCCTTTTCTGGTCTTCCCATTGTAAAGTTAGGACTCTTTGTCCCTGAATTTAGGCAATTCAGAATAAGAATATTAATTGATACTGTTGTGTGAGATGAAAATATTGAAAGTTCTGATTATGTTATATTGCACAAGCCATCTTGTAAGATGGAAGCTAAACTAATGAGTTCCTATCTAAGACTGCATTCACATGATTGCAAAGCTGCAGTGTTTTACTAGCTTGCAGCAGACATGTTGTCTTTAATTATTCACCTAACATTTTAAATGTACTTTATAACCCAAAGGAGCAACATTTGTGCAAACGGCTTTTGTCATGACAGCAGCAATATGTTTGCAATGAAGAAAAGGTCTGCAATTTGAGGCGACTCATGCCAGCTTGGTGCGGCTGTTATGGTAGCCGCCTATAGCTTTTAAAGGGTGTTGAATAGCTTTATGCCCATCATTAAAGTTTAATTATTAGGCTCATTGAGTTTTTTATTCTTTCTTAATTCTGTTTGGCTGGATGTTGGACAGAATGTATTCTTTCATTTCAAACCTTTATTTATACAGATTAATCCCATTGAGATCATTGATCTCTTTTTCAAGGGAGACCTGCTCAAGTAGTTCCACATGAAACATAAAAACATAAATAGAACAACAAAAGGACATCATACAGCATCATTTACATAATTATCCACATAAACGGGTACCAATAGCTTCCGATTGAGTAGCATCCAACCGAGCTTTAAAAACATTTAGTGGCACCAGATTGCTCAGTTTCCATTTAATTTGCAGACTATTCCAAGACAGAGGAGCTGCACATCTAAAAGCTGTCTTCCCTAAGACAGTCCTAGCAGTTGGTACATTTAATAAAACCACAGCATGCGATCTCAGGCAGTAGCCACTTACAATTTTCCGTGAGATCAGGGAGCAGATATAAGATGGAAGTTTCCCTAACATGGCTTTGTATATAAAAATGTACCAGTGACTGAGCCTCCGTACAGTTAGTGAAAGCAAACCATCCCTTGCATACAGGGTATAGTGATGTGTTAATGCTTTACAGTTTGTCACAAATCTTAGTGCACTGTGATACGCAGCATCTAACTTGACCAGGCAATTGGCAGGTGCATTCATATACATCAAATCACCATAGTCCAGCACAGGTAAAAAGGTCACAGTGACTAGTCTTTTCCTGTCCTCAAGCGAGAAACAGGACTTGTTCCTGTAGAAGAAACCTAGCCTAACCCTCAGCTTTTTAAGCAGGTTATTGACATGAAGTTTAAAAGTGAGACAATCATCAAGCCAGATACCAAGGTATTTGTAACAGGTAACCACTTCAAGTTTTATTCCTGCTCTGGTGTCTTTTTAGCTTTAGAAAAGACATTTAAAAGAATCTTTAGTTCAGAGAGCTGAGTCTGAATAATGTTAAAAACAGCGTGTAATTTAACACCAGCCTCCTTAATGGAGGGACCTGCACAGTACATCACGGTGTCATCCGCATAAAAATGTAAAGTAGCTTCATCGACATTTTCACCTAAACTGTTGATGTAGATGGAGAATAAAAGTGGACCTAAAACAGAACCTTGGGGAACACCATTTGCAATGTTCAACTACTCAGGAGACAGCCCATCAAAATGAACACATTGGGACCTTTCAGAGAGGTAGTTCACAAACCACCCTACTGCATGGCTGGACATGCCTATACTGGCTAGCCTCTGCTTTAAAATGCGATGATCGACCATTACCTAACCATTACCTGGGGAGAGCCTGGAGAGTGCAGGACAGGAGGGGCTGTGGTCACGATTGGCAAAGTACATGGGTTGAGGGCAGGGGGGGATGGCTCGACTCGGCCCTCTTTTCATAGTGAGTCTGCATTTCTCTGCCACCACACTGCATACAGTGTTGGTAGCCTCCTAATAATGTTTTCAAAAAGTGATCTCATTTCTATTTATCAAGCACACTGTCAAGCTTTCATCTTTGAAGTGCTGACTGTTTTTTTTTTCTAGATATTGATTCCCCGAGTATGCAAAAGTTTCTGTACAGACATAATGCAATTTTTGTTTTTATATAATATGTATAATTCTATAATGTTTGGCATGCAAGTGAAACCACTGTCTTGTTCAGTATTTTTCACACATTTCAGAGAATGTCCCTGATCCTCTTGTAGCCCAACTTGTTGGCATATCTTTTTTGGAAATGTACTGGACAATGATCAGTGGAAGAAAGAGACTACAGTATCACACTTAATCAAGAATTGTTTAATAGAAAACCGCAGGGCTCACTGAAAGTTCAAAGTATGCTGAAATTGGAAGTTAAATTTAAAGCCCGTCATTACTATTGCTTTTACATGGCAAACACAAGATCATCCACTCCATTTTTCTCCTCATCTTTGTGCATGGAGTTCATCTGAGTGTCACCATCCCTCCCAGATAAGAATGAGTTTGTAAAGATAGCAGCACGGCGTGGAGATGAGTTTTCCTATCATGATGACTGTGGTAATTATGCACAGGGGGTTGCCTCCTAATCCATTACCCGCTGCAAACCTTTCCCATCTTTCTGTATTAGATCATTTTTTAAAGCAGCCAATTTAGTGTGCAAAGGGAATCTGGTTATGAACACTATAAAGAACCTGGAGGGGTTGAGATGACTGCGAGAGAGGCAATTGGTATGCAGTTGTACGGAGCTGCTCTACTGCAGTCATCACAGGTTTGATGAGAGCATTGACCCTCGGAGGGCGGAATACAGTGATCCAGTGGAGATTGACTTTTATGCGTTTTTTGCAGTCCATTCA